GAAAATAGGGGGGAGGGGAAGAGGTCCTTTAAAATCGCACCCACCTGCCTTTACACAAACGCTTTCATTGCTAGCGAGAGGCTGTCGGGCAAAAGCAAGGAAATGCTGCCACCTAGTGGTTTGGGAGCAGGTTATATTTTAGGAGGGGAAAAGATCATTTCAAGGTTCACTGAATTAGGGAAGATGAGCGTTTTTAAGGAGACTTTTAAAGATAACATTTATTTATAACACTGTGTGGCTCATGGGTACAGTTCACCTCTTCATATGTACGTTACCACACCCCACCCAGCACCAAAAAAACCATATTCCTCCCCCAAAGTCCATTAGGTCCCCACCTAATAAATGGCCTCGACTGTGCAGTTAGATTTCCAAGGTTTGGGTTTCATTTGTTCCTTTACTTTGTGTATGATCCACATGTGCGAGGCCATCTGGTGTTTGTCTGTCTCCTTCTGACTTTCTGCACTCAGCAAATTCCCCTCCAGTTCCATCCAGGTGGTTGCAAATGGCAAGAGCTCACTTTTTTCATGGCCAAGTACTATTCTATTGTGCATATATGTGCATCTTCCTGATCCACCCATCAGTCCTTGGGCATTTAGGGTTTTTTTCATAAGTTAGCTGTTACAAATAGTGCTGTCATGAATACAGGGACTAGCTTTTAAAGGCTCTTGGAGAGCAAGGGAATGTGGAGTCCTTTACCCTGAGTCTGCTTAAAGATTAGCCTTGAGACTCAGGGTCTCAGAGGAGCCCCAAGACACACCCTAGTTAAGGGGAGTTAGGGGATAATATTAGGGGGTACAATAAAGACATAATTCTCTTCCATTCCTCACCTCACCTCTGACAGCTTTCGAGAAGAAATGGGAGAAGAATGGGCCCCAAATAAGACACCAACTCATGACCTGTGGTGAGCAAGGACCGCCAAGGAGGTGGCAGCTGACCAGAGAAGGCCTGAGGGCATCTGGGGGGGGAAGCTCCCTCCGTGAGTAAGTCCAGCGTCAGCACTTAACCCTCCTGGCCTTACAGCCTCTGAGGGCACAGCTTGCCAGCCATAGCCAGAAGTCCTGTCACGAGAGGCTCACTGGTGGGAGGAACCTTTGCTCACACTCAAGTCACTTAATTCTTTTTAAAGTGCAGACTTATCTGATTACCAATACATGAACACAACCAAGATGTCCCTTGGTAGCTGGGTTGAAAATTGTGATCCATCTAGGTGGTGGAATATTATTTAGCACTAAAAGGAATGAGCTATGAAGACATGAAAAGACATGCTAGAAACCTAAATGTATCTTACTAAAAGAAAAAAGACGCGTGGGCCTCCCTGGTGGCACAGGGCTTAAAGTCTCAGCACTATCAAACTACCACCAGCCGTTACAGTGTAAGTTCCACCCCGGCCAGGGAGTGACCCACATGGTGCAGCAGACCTCTCGCGTCTTGCTTCCTACTCCCCACAGTACTTCAGATTGGCCTGTTGTGCTCCCCACTGTCTCTAGTGAGCCCTCTCACCATGCCCCACACACACCCCTCTGGCCTACAGCCCAGCTCTGTTATGCAGAAACTTTAAAAAATTAATCTTTAATAGAAAGAAAGTCCCCTGCCAGCACGTCCCGTGAAAACACAGGCGCTCTCGGGAACTGCTGCTGCCTCTGAAGTCCTTAAATGCTGGTGCAGATGAGGCACTAAAAGACTCCTTTGGGTTTTTTTCCTCCTGGCATCCTTCTTGAGTCCCTATGAAAGATGGAAATTGAGCACTGCCCACCGGCAATTAGTTTACTGATTGGAGAACCCTCATTGAAAAGACAGAAATTGAAGTGAGTGAAGTCATCTGGTGTTTGCCTTTTGCCTTCTGACTTATTGCATTTAGTAAATCCCCGCCCCCAAGTTCCATCCAGGTTGTGGCAAATGGCAAGTTCACCCTTTTCGTGGCCAAGTAATATTCCACTGTGCATACATGCCACATCTTCCTAATTCACTGATGTGTCCTTGCGCACTGAGGGCCTTTTTCAAGACTTAGCTATTGCCACTAGTGTTGTAATGAATAGAGGGACTAATTGTTAAAAGCTGTTGGAGAACAAGGGGCTCTGGGGCCCTTGAACCTTGGGTCTGCTTAAAGATTAACTCTTGAGACTCAGGGTTTCAGATGAGCCTTTAAAAGTATATTCTGAGATGGACCCAGAGTCGTGTGCTCCGTATCAAGGCCCCACAAGCAAAGTGGAGCCCCTGCCCTGGCCTGCGGGGCTCACGCCCCGGTGGAGGCAGAGACAAGCGGGGAGGGCATGACTTTGAGCACGAGCAACAGAGAGGCACGTGGATGCGGCGGTGGAACAGAAATCCAGTGCTGAGGGGGCAGCAGGGACAGGAGGGGCCAGCTGCGCCTGTGGGTCCCTCCCTGGCTGGGGACTGAACTCGTGCTGCAGTGGCCTGAACAGCTTCATAGTGCTGAGACTTAAACCCCTGCACCACCAGGGAGGCCCCCAGGAAACTGGGTTTCAAGGGCAAAATGTGCACGACTTGCCATTACCTTCCCCACAGAAAAACAGTAAATGAAGCTCGGGGTTCTTAGTGTTCTGGCGCCTAGGCATCCCCCAGGCCTTTGATGGTGAGACAGACCCCTTCACTAGAGGAAACTGCACACTGACAGTGGGAACGTACCCTTCGTGACTGAAAACTAGGCGGATGGGTCTCCCGAGTGTAGCAAGCAGGTAGGTCAGGCACCCACCCCAGCAGACACTGGCTGACGGGGAGGTGACAAGGACCAGACAGACATGAGGCCTAGCACAGCACACCCCAACGCCCAATCAAAATGGGGTGAACTGGACCTAGATTGTGCTTTGGCTATGACTCGCGACACAGTCATCTCAACTTGGGGATTTCTTTTGGGGATTTCTTAAGGGTACTCGACGGAAATGCAGATCAAAGGGCATGAACTTGAGGTAGACAAGGAAGCAGCAATTTCTCAACATCAATGTTTAATTATTGCACAGTTCAAGCAACAGCCACTTCACAGACAGGCTGCTTGGGGCATCCCAGGACGCGCTGGTCAGAGGTGTGTGAGCGGCTGAAGCAGGCAGGCACACGGGGCCACAGTCCTTGGGTGCCGACTCTTGTTCCTCTCAGAAGGAATCGCTATTTCCATTTTCCATCTCTTTTCAACTACGAGAAACAGGCCTAAGGAGAATCTTAGCCTCATTTTCTGCTGATTGATTCAAGTCTGTAAGTTCTCAGTTGCTTAGAATCCACCCAACAGGGAGATGCTTTCAAGGAGGGTGCCTTCCCTTGTCCTCTCAAGATGGAGACGAAGCAAAACTGCATCCAGACATCCGTGTTAGCCGGCAGTCTGCTTCCCTGCCAGTTCAGCGAAGGCC